TGGGACAGTCCGAGAATTCATCTGAGTGGGTGATCATAGTGACAGGATCAACCCCTTTGTCGGACAAAGTGAATGATCGGGAAAATGCACTCTCTCTGATGGAAACCAAAACTGCCCGCAGTGGATTTCAAATATGTTTGAAATTTGGTTTTGCAAAATATATTTATATAGAGATATTCTTATATATTATGGTTTCACAAATTGTTTGCAAAATGTTTTAATTCCTGGGATCCATGTGAGTAGAGAGTGTAGCACTATACCTTGCAGCCGAGGGAGAGGTCATCTCTTGTCGGGCAGTGTTTGATCATTAAGGGCTGAGAGGTTAAGTGTAAGACCATTGAGGGTTATATTTGATGGGCTAATCTTGCATCTGCCCACAGTCCTTGGGCCTTCATAAGATGGTTGGACCCAATGACCATTTAGTGTAAATGTTGGGCCCATTAAAATGATGGACTCAAGGGTTCACTATATTCAGTGATGAATTCGGCCAGGCCTTGTAACAGATGCTAGGCTGAACCCATGTGGCTGATGTGTAGATCAATTTTTGGGTTCCACTCCATACAAAGAGAGCCAAGCTAGCCAACATTAAAAGGAAGTGAGCCTGAAATCTTAATAGGCCTAAAGCTCGTTTTGAACTGGGTTAATTGGGTTAATTAAATAGGGGCGGATCTGGGTTTGGATCAGCAGATAAGGATAAGAGGATAACTCTTATCCACTTAAAGAGTCCAGATCCAAATAAAGATTTGGATTAGGGAACTCCTAATTTGATTAGGAATAAACTGATCTTGAACTGCAAATAAGATATGGGATTATCTTTATCACTTAAAGAGTTCAGATCCAAATAAAGATTTGGATCAAGAGACTCCTAATCAGGTTAGGAGGTTGTCTCTTTAAGGCTATAAATAGAGAGCAGGGCGGGTCTGAAAAGGACACATATACATTACAAAAGACAACTCAATTTGATTGATCCTGCCTTCAGTTCTTTTTCTCCCTGCTCTTGCCGCCCTATCCTGTTTGATCTCCAATTCTTGGGATTGATTAAGATTTGATCTTGATATTGTTTCTTGTTAGAAGAAACAATTCTGAAGCTGTGCTCAATACCTCATTCGATTCTTGCCGAAGAATCAAATGGTTCTTGGTGAAGAACTACTTGCTGATTGTGCCTTATACTAAGCTGTGTTATCTTTAGTGGAGGGAGGATTTGGTACACTCTTTGGGCGTGAACACCTGCGTTGGGAGGAGCTTTTTTGCGTGGATTCTGTATCAGGTATATCTCATCTAATCTTGGTTTCAGATTTGGTCCGGTTTGGCTACAAGAACAAAACTTGAAAATATAGTTTTCTAAATTGGGAATAGGATTCCCGGATGGGGGTAAAGAAATTTTTGAAAATTTGCCCAACCTTCCTGTAGGGTTTGGCCATCAATATGATGGATCTCCCATCCCTTCAGTGGTATCAGAGCCAGGTTCAAGTCTTGAACCAAATTTGATCAGATCTGAATCTGCGCAAATGGGTAGAAGGCGTTCTACCCGATTTGCACAGTTAGCGTTTTCTTGGGAATTGGTTTCCAGATTTTGGGTGGATGATCTGGAAAATAAATCTTTATTATTCTGTTATTTATAGAATTGTTCTGTGAATGTTTCTTGAATATTTGGGCTGCCCATGTGATGGAGATCGAATCTTTCTGGTGCCAAGATTGGCGCACCCTACTGTTTCTTTTCTATTCGATTTGGTCTGTAAATAATTTTTTTTAGACAAATTGTATAGGAATTCAATGTGATGTAATAATAGAAAAAATTAGTTTTTTCTATTTTAATTCCATCTGGAGATTGCTGGAGTGCGCAACAAAGGAGAAGAAGATTTCGTAGAAAGAAGTTTTGCGATTTGCGATTTTGTAGATATCGATTTTGCAATTTGCGATTAATTGTTCTTTGCAGGTTTGCAGGATGTCCAAGAAAATCACAATGCAGCACTTTGATTTTGTTTTCTTGATAATTTGATTATCTAGATTTAATTTATTATTCAAATCATTATTCTTGAATTAAATCTTGAACTGGACCCCAAAACTCGGGCCGATTTACACCAGATTTGGTCCAAACTGGTTGGACCGAATTGTTGGTTCGATGGGGTTGGTTTTTCTAACCCAAATTCGATTTAGGCCAAAGGATTGATGGCCCACTTCAAGTTTTAATTTGGCCCACCTCTGTAAAAACTCAGTTTTAATATGATAAAACTGAATCAGCCCTAATTTAGCTACATGGGCCGAACTGCTTTTTGCAGTACAGCCCATGTACCTAGATAATGTTATATGATAACATTATGGGCTCTGTTGGGCTGATTTTGATTTAATCTAATTAATTAAGGGTTTTACAGATATTTTAATTGATTGGATCAATTTCTTTTTTATGCATGTGATGTATGGATGTGTGATGTGCTACGTACATGGGCCATAAGTACTTGGCCCATGTTAATTCGATAGTGGCTCTTTCGCACACCATGGCTGAATGCACATCATTGCCATGGTGTCCATAAGATCATGGATTAGAATTTGGAGGAGGCTTCCTTACGTTTATCTCCGTCTTCATCATGTTCCTCGCGCTCTGCCCCTCATTGTTCAGAGGTGAAGAAGACTCTTTTGAAACTTGAGCTTGATCTGATATTGTTGCGTGTTGGTGCTAAGGAGTGGAGAGAAAGTCTGAATTAGGCTTCGGGTTATTATGGTTTGAGACTAGAAGCAGCCATGAGGCAGAGGAACAAGCGAAGAAAGATGTCATGGAAGGGTTGGTCCGGTTGGAGTGTAATTAAGAAGAATTCAGGGGCAGTGTGGAGCCAATAGAGCTTTTGCATGATCGAAAGAGAGAGGAAAACAAATATCAAGCGATGAGGTGAGGAGGCAGAGATGCACTGGCTGGCTTTTTGATGTTCGTGGTGGTGGTTCAAGACTTCCATCAAATGTTATTCATTCTACGGAGGAAGTTCCCAAAGTTATTCAAGACTTCCATCGAATGTTCAGTCAATTTTATGTGGACAAAATTGCAACCCTAATCGTGTATATGGATGATAAAGTTATCACAGAATTTGGGATTTAGAGATCTAGAGACTTAAGCAATTCTTATCATCACATTTTTATGTAAAGATCTAGTCCTTTTTCATTATTTTTTTTTTGGGAATTGAAGTTGGGTCAATTAAAGGTATCTGCATTTTCTCAAAGGAAATATATTCTAGATCTTCTTCAAGACATGGGAAAGCTAGGGGGTCAAACTGGCTCACACACCATGCATCAAACTGGCTCTCTCAGACATTAAACAGCTTTAGAAGGTTGTTGGAAGACTCTTGTATCTCTCTATGACTCGTTTAGAAATGGCATGTGTTGTGGGTGTCTTTAGTCAGAAAATGCTTGCTTCAAAGACGTCACATCTTATGGCTACAAAATTTGATGATAAAAAGCCTACTAGTGGCTATTGTACCTTTGTGGGAGGTAATCTTGTTACTTGGAGGAGTACAAAGCAAGGAGTTGTTGCTAGGTCCAATGACGAAGATGAATTTCAACCTTCTTATTGATAAAGTGTTTCTAAATTTCAATATGTTTAGTTCTATCATGAAGAATTGGAGACATCACCTGTGTGAGCTTGTCTTACTTGTCAAGTTGTCATTCCCAAGCTTGGATAAAGGAGGATTGCATCTAGTTGGTTGCTGGCATTTAATTGCCAAACTCTTTAAAAGAGAGCATTAAAGGACATCATTTTGGGTGTATTTGGGCGGGAGGGTAGTTTAGTAATTCTATCTGTAATTCTGTGTTTTTATTTAAAGTTAATATAAAGCTGGTCTGACTGTTTAGAGAGAATTAAGATGTTCTAATCTCTCTCTAATTAGTTTGGCAGTTTCTCTCCATTCTCCTCTCTCTTCTTTATTTCTTCTCCCCTCCTCCCTTCTCTTCTTTTTTCTTTCTTTCTTCCTTTCTATTTCAGTCTAGATTGTTTTGTGCTTCTGTAATAGCATATTTTCACATGGTATCAGGGCAGGGAACAAGAGGAAGATCTGATTAGGGCTTTCTTTCACCATCAAACTGATTAGGGTTCCTTCTAGAAGGCTGTAACTGCTTGCCACAGGGGATCAGACTAGTTTCAGCAGGGTTTCTTGGTGATTAGTGATGGTTCTAACCATTATAGGTGCTGTGATAGGTGATCAGTGATATTTGTGACCCTCTAGTGGATCAAAATCAAGAGGGAAAGTGATGGTTGGTTCTGATTAGTACTGTGAAGTGAAAAATATCTTCTGATTTTGTAATGGAACTAAGGCTATAAAGGGACTTCCAGTGATGTGGTAGGTGTGTTTGTGAGCTGTGAATATGATCAGGTTGATGAAATTTAGTTGTGAATTCATTTTTGTAAGAACAGTAAGATACTAGGAGGTAAAGTCAAATTTTATGGCCCTCACAACCTTTATGTTGACCACCCTTAAGTTGAATGGCAGTGCAAACTATGCTGTTTGGGCAAAATTAGTAGAGGTTTCACTTACAGCTATTGGAATTTGGAAAATTAAAGTATTTCACGAAGCCTGGGATTGATAATTCCATGTACTTGGGGTGGTTACAAGAAGATGCACAGAGTAAAACATGGCTGTGGAATTCTATACAATAGTCAGCAGTACTCTAATATTTCTTGATACTTCAAAGCAGATCTGGGAGCAGGTAAAGAGGATGTACTCAGGAGGGAGTAATAATATTACTAGGAAATATCAGTTATTTCAGTCCTTTTTTTAACTTACAGCAGGTTGATGTATCAGTTATTTCAATCCTTTCTTCTTCCTCTTGCTCTGATCTTTCTCTTGCTTCCTTCTATATTTTCTTGATTAAATACAAATTTTTATTGAAGTTTTTTTTCTCCGGTTGGAACAATGCTTAGATGATGATGCTGATCTTTTCTGTGTGCCTACTGGATTTTATGTAGATTCTGGTTCAAATTCATGTATTAATTTATTTTTACATAATGAGCTCTGCAGGATGAAACAAAACTCTATATCTTCCTTGAGCTTGCAACACAAGGTTCTCTTGCAAATCTCTATCGGAAGTATCGCTTGGGAGATTCCCAAGTCTCAGCATATACACGGCAGATCTTGAATGGTTTGAAGTATCTTCATGATCAAAATGTTGTTCATAGGTGACACAACTAACTTGTTATTTTATTCCTATAGCTATTCCTTCATTTACTCTCTTGATACACATGTTTTTTTCTTGCTTCAGTCATATGATGCTTATTTGTTTAAAACTTGTACCTGGGGGAGCTGATATACAATTTGAAGTTTATGTAGTTCTGTCCTAGAATATCCATAGCTAGACGATAAAATTTTTTTTATCAATAATATGGAAATGACTGATCTTTCTTTTTTGAGAAGTGGTAAAAGTATTGAGTTAATATATTGAAGAGTGGATATCCCAAAAGGCCTAACAGAAACTTTACATGGTTAATGAATTGAAACCATTTTCATACATCTTGAGCTACATCAAAAGAATAATCACAGTATTTTGTCCCAGTATCTTGTGAATTAATCATAGTTCAACCTGAAGAAATCCTTCAAAATAGTTGACCAACTAATCAATGTTTTAGTGGTAGGGTGATGATCCAGCAGAATGGCCATCTTCAGTAATATGGTCGTTAGTGAAGATTTAAGAAAGTCCAAATTTATTTTGAGATGTCAGTTTCTGGGACAATTATTGACGAACATAATAATTAATAGGGGTGACACACTGTATGATCATTCTTTGGTCTATTTGTCCTTCAATGTGCCTGGTCAGGACTCAGATGTAGTTCCATGATGCAGATGCAGAAAAATGGAAGGTAGAAGTGGTTTAATCTAATCTGATCTTGTGAGAAACTCAATTATGAAGCCCAGTCCAACAGGCATCCATATAGTAAGGTAGCCACTATGGGCCAAGTCCGACCAACCTTGTGACTGGAGTCCCATTTGTCATATTTAACAAAAAGTGCCAAGAAAAATAAATCTGTTAAGAGAATAAAAACCTATTCAGGGCCCTCACTAACAGCTTAAGCTTTTAGGTTGAATAGTTCTTGAATAGGTTTTTATTCTCTAACTTGTGCTGAGAATAGTGCCAAGCACAGTCCCATCTTAACTTGTGCTGAACTTTAATTCATTATAATGGGGGTGAGGAGGGTTGCACACTAGACCATTTGGTCAAACCTTGGTCTGATACTATCTCAAGGCATTGTTCAACCTAAAAGCTTAATCTGTTAGGTGAGGTCCCTGAATAGGTTTTTATTCTCTAACATGCTCCCACACGTGAAAGCCCATTGGGCTTGAGGTGTGGACAAGCATAGGCCCATCCATACCTTGTGTTGAAATTTAATTAATTATAATGGGGATGATGGGGATTGAACACTAGATCACTTGGTCAAACAGGCTCTGATACCATCTCAAGGAACCGTTCAACCTAAAATCCTAAGCTATTAGGTAAGGTTCCTAAATAGGTTTTTATCCTCTTACAAAAACCTTTCCTAGAAAGGTAGTATCAAAGGAATATGCATTGTTTTTCAATAAATTTTTCTTGTTTCCTATCAATATATATATATATCAAAGGAATATGCATGAGAAACAATATTATAATTATATTATTCTTGTATTGTGAGACCCACATATAGCTGCTCTGCCACTCCTTCTCTATCAAAGCTATCTGCTGCAGAGCTTGCTGATCTCCACACGCATTGAATGAGGTCTTCACTCTGGTTGCTGAGGCTATAGCTTCTTTAACATGAAGTCTAAGGGCCTACCTTCCTTGAACCACTTGATGGCTGTTTTTCTGTCTCCCTCAATTTTCATATGCTGATAAGTGAAAATCCCTAGATATCATGTCACAAGTGATATGGGAACAATGAAGTCATAATAGATTTTTTTTTTGTTATTTTTTAGTTAGATAGTATATGTATTTTTGGTATTTTACCTGTTGTCTGTGGGATCCAGCCTTGTATTTTAATTTTTCTATTTATAGTTTTGTTAAGTTCAAAATTTGAGTCATTGATTATTGTAGTCCAGCGAGAAAGAAGGAAAAATGAAGTAGGAAAAGAGAGAAGAGAAGAGAAGAGAAGAGGAGAAAAGAAGAAGAAAAAGTGTTCTATTCAAAAGTTCATAGCTGGAGGCACATAAGTTAGTATTTATACTTAGGCGACAACAATAAAAAGAATAGGGAAATACCAGAAATACCCCTGTGGCAATAACATAACATATTACAACAGTTATGTTGCTAATAAAAAAGAAAAAGGTTATTGATTAAGTGGTTAAGGAGTTTTGAGTTGAAGTATGATAGTGGAAATTCTATGATTTCTATTTTTCTTTGTTTTATAAGATAATCTAGCACCTTTAGTGTCTATTTAGATGTGTTAGTAAAAATTTATTGAATGATATTCTGGTTGAGAATTTGTTTACCTTAAACCATTGAGTGATTCTAGGTGCCATTACCAAAAAATGAACATCATTCTAGGTGTCCATTTAGTGTTTTTGGGTTTTCATTTTCATTTCCATTTTGTTATTGTTTTTCATTCTAACATTATAGCCATCACCAACCCACAAATTCTTTATCAGAAAAGATTATTAAGCATCTGTAAGGGACTAAATTTGATCCATGTACTTTTTTTCCACTAAAATTCAAAATTTTCTTGTTTGAACAGTTTTCATCTGTTTTATTGTAAACCTCCTTGCACTTGGAATGCCACCTATTGAGTTGCCTAAAGTTTTAATCACCCTTCATTCCAACAAATTTCATCCCAAAACTTCACTTAATACCCTTCTTGTAAGTTAAACTTTTAGGAAAAAGTATAAGAGTGAAATAGACAAGAGAAGAGAATGTTTTGGAGAGCCAAAAAGTGAGTGGGTGGCGGCCCCTCCCCTCTTATTATTTATGATAGGGCAACCTTAAAAGAGGGCAAAAAGACTAATCTGCCCTTGTCACTAAAAACATAACAGAAAACATAATAAACAACACTCCCCCTCAAGTTGGGTCATAAATGTCAATCGTTCCTAATTTGTTACAAAAAACTCACTATGGCATGGGGTAGACACTCCCTTAGTAAGAAACATCTAACCAATTCAAGGAAGTAACATAAGGAATACAAATATCACCCAATTCTAACTTTTCCCTTATGAAATGCTTGTCCACTTTTGTCCTATCATGTAGAACTGTGTTGTGTGCAATGTTGATAGGCACCTTATTATCATAGTAAAGGTCATAGGGCATGCTATTGGAAGTCCTAGTTGCAGGAGCAAGTTCTTTAGCCACAGTAACTTAGTAACTCCATGTGCTATAGATTACTACTCAGGTTCAAGACTTGATTGGGCCACCACTCATTGCTTCTTACTCCTCCAAATCACAAGGTTACCTCCAACAGAAATACATGAACTAAAGGTTGATCTTCTATCACTTATGGAGCTGGCCCAATCTATGCTTTTATAGGTTTCAGTCTTCAAGTGCCTATGGTTAGCAAATAAGATGCCTCTCCTTGGGTGCTTCTTCAAAAACTTTAGTACCCTTTCTATGGCCCCAACGTGTGAGGTTTTTGGAGCATGCATATGCTGAAGTACACCAATTGGATACGCAATGTTTGGCCGTGTCATAGATAGGTACAACAATTATCGGACAAGCTTTTGAAATTGTCTCACTTCAGTCTAGGACATCTTGCTTCATATCTAGGACATACTTCCTTGGGAAACGAAAATGCCTTTCTTTGATTGGGCAACTTCAATCCTAAGGAAGTGCTTAGAAGACCTAGACCTTTTACATTAAACTTAGAAGCAAAAATCTGCTTCAATCTCTGAATCTTTATCTTAAAGACAAGCTTATACTCAAACAAGCCTTAGGCTCACTAGGCCCAGACTCATATTCTAATGGATCTAGATTCCCACCTGAGCAGCATCTAGAGGAAATCTTGCATAACACCACTAGTCAAGTTTGTTTATACAAGGAAGCCACGTTAGCATAACTGAATGTAATCCTCCATGTGCATGAAGTTGGCATGAGGTGCCCATTGTAATGAGATACTAGTGAAGTAACCCGTGTTGAGCATGGGAGAGTGGCATTGGACGGGGCATTGAGTCAACACAATAGTTAACACCAACTCTGGTGACATCTTTACCACATAATCTCGTTGATGAAGGGACAAAAGTCCGCATTGGATGGTTGTGATTGACCAATAGGTAGACTAACCTGAGTTGTGGGCCTCTTACTTTGTCTGGCATTTACTCATATGACACTACCACCTACTCCAGCGCCCGATACCGAAGGTTAGGTTTTAGGTGCCTAAGCGAGCTAGGATTAGATCATCATCTGAGACAAAATTTGGCAACTTGTTAATGGCGTTCTTCTGAAAGACGTTGTTAAGTCTCTAATGGCTCATTCGATGGCCCTTGAAAGAAACCTCTGTTGAATGGGTTGGTTGCCGTCCCTGCCAGCACCGTCGCCAGGTTAATAATCTTCACCTGCTCTCCTCCTTCGTAAACCCCTCCAACACCACCTTGAGGATGTTGGCTCTTGTTCAACAACAACTGCTGGTTCTCAAGTATCACAATGACATTCTTCTGAAAGGCAACTTCACGGTTAACATTAGCTGGTACGGTAAGTTCTCCCCAGTCCAGCACTCCATACTTGTCAACTTTCTTCAATCCTTGAACGCCCCTCAACTTCGTGTTGCTCCTTCCGTCTCGTCGTGGTGGCGATCTACTGACAAGTACAAAGTGGGTTCTAGCAAACTCATCTTAGCGAGGCAAATCGTAGACGAGGAATGCTCTCTCGGGAAGTCTTTCAAGACCTCTCACATCGTTGCTTTGGCTGCCAAAGAAGACCACAAGAATGTGATCAACATGGTCTTCACGGCCAAAGATGTTGTTGTAGATGGGTTCTGTATGAGCCGTTGCGACACCCAAGGTTTTGCTTGGGGAACTGCGGGAATAAAGAATAGTAAGTTCGTCTACGTGTGTCGGTAACTCGGAGACTCAATGCCCCGACCAATGCGCCTGGCCCTTCCACCAGCCGATTTACGGTCCATAGACACCGCCGTTGGTGCCTTTGAATGGCGATGTCGGGGTCGACGACAAGATTATTAACCTGGCGACGGTGTTGGTAGGGACGGTGACCAACCCATTCAACAACGGTTTC